GTAGGGGGGTCCTGGCAGGCCTGCTGGTGATCTCGGCTGTTCCCGCTCCGTTAGGCCCTATTTCTCTGAGCTGCTTTTGCCCAGTTGCTGGGATTGGAGTCTTTCCCATCCAACACATGCCTTTGGTCATGCTAACTGCATCTTGTCAACACGCACCGGCCACCTACTCCATGCCTGCCACCTAAGGAATCGGTATCTGAAGTGGTACAGTGGCTGCTCTCTGGCCACTAATGGCTCTGTGGTAAGATAGGTGCACTGCACTGTGCTTTGTCATCTGCAGGACACGCCTAGGTGGTGCTTCAGCTTTCTCCTTGGTGACATGGGCATAGAGCACCTACCTACCTGTTGAGTATTGTTAGAGCAAACCATGGGAATGTCTGTAAGTGGTGGACTTGAGACAGCGCTCAGTAGCTTTTCCTTTTTCTCTAACAGATTCATCACCGGATCCCCAGCTCAGACCCATCTTCTAGCAAAACCAAGGAGGTCATCTCCGCCATCAGGACACAGAGCCTTCCCAACTGTCAACTCATCTCCCGAAGCCACTACTCCCCCATTTACCTGTCGTTTGTCATGCTCTTGGCTGCCCTGAGCTGGCAGTACCTGAGCACCCTGTCCCAGGTCACAGAAGACTATGTGCAGACAGGAGAACACTGATTTTATTTGGCTGGAAGCCAACGTTCACATGAAATGGTTTTACCTTTTCTTCCAGGTGGATTTTGACTTCCCTTTCGTTTTCCCTACTTTAATCTCTCAGAGAACTGTGTGTGGGACCTTTAGAAACTGCAGAGGAAAAGACACCTTGCCCCCAGCAGCCTGGTGCTTGTTGGGCCGTGGTCCCTCTGCCTTTTGTAGCCATTGGCAGCATGCTCACTGCTGCACTTTAGATGGTCACAAGCTCCTAGTGCACCTGGCTAGAGTGACAATTGAACTTATTTAATTGAAACAGCCTTTGAATACCTGTCATGACTTTTCCTTCCGTCTGGTTCCTGTTTTTCTCATCAGTTTGACAGTGGAAGGCATTAATTGTCCTCATTCTAGGTCATGTTGCTAAGCTCCCCAAGAGTACAGGTGTGTCTTTCTCAGAGGGACCTTGAGCATTCATCAATGCCTCCACTAACAGCTTTTGCTCTTGAGATTTTGATAATAGCATGTAAGGGCTGGAATATAACTCAGGTGGGAGAACATTTGCCCAGTCTGCACAAGGCCTGTTTTACTCAGGGCTTCTGTTGCTTCAGGAGACACCATGATCACAGCAACTCTTACAAAGGAAAACATTTCATTGAGGAGGCAGCTCACAGTTTCAGAGGTTCAGTCCATTGTCATGTCGAGGAGCATTGTGGTGTGCAAACACACATGGTGCAGGCTACAACTTGATTAGAAGGCAACAGGAAGTGGACTGTCTGTCAAACTGAGTAAAGTAGAGCAAAAGAGACCCCCCACAGTGACACACTTCTGTCAACAAGGCCATACTGTACTTGCCCTTCCAGACACCTTGATAGTCATTTGTTTTCATTTTTCCTCCCACATTTTTATGCTGTAATGTCAAGATGAACAATGACAGGCAGAAAGATCAATTCTCCTATATTGGCAGTTTGGTTTTTAATTCTGCATGGCTACATTGTCATGAGGGCCCCTGGCTACCTGTGTATCTGAAAAAAATAGCATTTCAGGCATGACAGTGGAGAGGCTCTTGGTAACATGCTGACCTGTTTCCCGCTATAACACCATACCCAAGGCCAACTGCTTTACCAAGAAGAGAGGTTTATTTCTTTTACAGCCTAGGAGGATGAAGAGCCAAGATGAGGTGGCCCCATCTTTAGCCTCTGGAGGGCCTCATGGGTAATGACATCACATTGGTGGAAGGTTATGCAGGAGAGCACATGTGACAGGAAGCAGGAGAGAGTCAAAGCTCAGACATGCTGGCAGTCTTAAAGTAGCTGAGGTTGGCCTGGGAGTCTGTGTAGCCTTGAACTTAATGGTGATCCCCCTTCCTCAGCCTTCTGAGTGCAAGGGTTATAGACATGAGCCATCCCATTCTCGTCCTCAGAGCTTGGTCTTAGCAGCACTAACTGGAAGACAAGCATTGACCCCCTTTGAGGATAGTGCCTCCCAAACCTAATCACCTTTCACTGGGCCTCAGCCGCTCACTGTCACTGTGGACCAAGCTTCCGGCATATGACGTTTGGGGGACACCGAGACGTGTGTGTGTGTGTGTGTGTGTGTGTGTGTGTGTGTGTGTAGTGCAGTCTGCTCTCCAGTTCAGTCTACTGGGTATGCCGACTTCACTGAGGGACCACAGTCAGCATGGCAGTTGATGCAGCATCGTAGGCAAGCACAGATAACTGTGACTACTGAGACCCACTTGGGGCATGGAGACTTCATTTCAATTGGTTGTGTCTCAACCTTGGATAAATATCACCCAGTTGAAACCAGTCAAAGTCATGTGTTGCATGGTTAACTTCTGTTCTCATGGAAGCAAAAGGTCTTAATGCTCATCCTTTCTGGAGGCTACAATTCTCACAGTAATCCCAGCATTTGGGAGGTAGAGGCAGAAGGATCAGGAGTTCAAGGTCATTGTCTGTTATGGAGGTCAGCCTGGACTACACAAGATCCTATCTCTAACAAACAAAACCCAAAGACTGTTTTCCCTTGTCAGGATGCCAAGCTCCACTTTAATTCCAGACAGTTTTGTTTATATCCGGATCTTTAGCATGGAATATTTCTATAAAGCCATTTATAATTGGCTACATCTGACACACCTATCTTTTTTCTCCCCTTGTTTATTATTTTGTTGCTAGGCACTGAACCAAGGGTCTTGCTTGGACCATATGCTGGACAAGCCCTCTGTACTAGTAAGAGACAGCCCCAGCCTGCCTTTGACTCTCCATGCCATGTACAGCATCTAGTGTAGCCACTTGGTTCCTTCCACATTGGAGTGTGCTGCCTTCCTCAGGCCCATCAGTATCCAGCCAACATAGCAGCTAGAAGGGCCTGCTCTGCACCTTTCAGGAGCCTTTGGTTATATGCAAGTCATGCCTGGGGCAGCCCCTTGGAGGATCATCCCCCACAGTCATTTTTCAGTATTTGTGGTAGGGAGGAGTAAGAGCTCTAAGGCTCTCACTAAAGTTCAATGTGTAGTGCTCTGAAACCAGACTTCTGACCAAGTAGGTCTGGCATGGTGCGTAGTGAGTTCGTGAGAGGCATGAATGCTCTTGGTCATAGGACCAGTTTGAAGACCACTGCCCAAATGTTAATGTACCTAAGAATGACCTAGTCAGGCAGCAAGTGACTACTCGAAGGCCTGCTGTTGATGGACACTGGCTCAGTTGGAGGGCGACATGCAGAGCCAGGACTCTTACAGCATAGTGCTGTTCAACACGTAGAGAGGGAGGGATGCAGAAAATCTGAACCAACAGGGCAGACTGAAAAGAAAATACTGCTCTAGCTACTTTTTTTGTTTTTTGAGACAGGGTCTCATTGTAGCTCAGGCTGGCCTCAAACTCCCAGAGATGTTTGCCTCTGCTTCCGGGTGCCTATTTGTCAGCTTGAACTCAAGGAACAATGCTACTGGTGGGCACAGGAGACGACCCACAGGATTATTTGGTTATGGAAGCCATATGGAGCTATCCCCAAGCATATGATAACAAGGCAGGTTTCTCTCAGGGGCCCCTTCAGTAAGAGGATGCCCCAGGTCCTCTTAATTTCGCCGGTCCCCACTGGCTCTATGGGGTTAGGCGCAGAGGTACAGGTGGGCATGCGGTGGGGCAGGAAAGGCAGTATACCCACAACCCCAGAGAAGCTGAACCCTCTTCCAGAAACAGATGGGCTGAGCTCCTGGAGTACAATCAGAGTGAGGGAGGAGCGATAGTATGAACAAAGGAGTCAAGACCATGATGGGGAAACCCACAGAATCAGCTGACCCGAGCTAGTGAGAGATCACTGACTCAGGTCCGACAAATGGGGAACCTGCATAAGATTCAACTAGACTCCCTTAATAGAGGTGACAATGATGTGACTGGGACAATATATGAGGCCATTGGTAGCAGGTCCAAGATCTAACACTAATGCACAAGCTTAGTGGAGCCCATTCTATATGGAGAGATACATTGCCCAGCCTAGGCACGGGTGTAGGGGGTGGGGCCGGGGGAGGTGCCTTGGTCCTGCCTCAACAAGGTGATAGGACAGACTTAGTAGACTTCCTAGGGGAGGCCTTAGCCTCTCTGTGGGGTAGATGGGAGTCGTGGAGTGGGGAAAGCGGGAGGAGAGGAGGCAGGGGGAACTGGGATTGGAATGTAAAAAATAAAAGATTATCAAGAAAAAAAGCAGCTGGTGGCAAGGGGAGGGTTGTGAAAAACAAAACAAAAGACAGTGTACAAGGGAAACTATCTGATGTTGCTTAAGGACAAGAACTGTCTTACAGTACTGAAGCCCCAGTACCAAAGCCAGGTTGCCTTAACCTTTGAATTACATCTCCAGCACTCGCCAGGCTTTAAGAGCTTGATAGAGTTCTGGTTCCCAACTTATGGGAAGGCAAGCTTCCTCAGCTTCTAGAAAGAACCAGCCCTCTCATTGAGCAGGCAGGAAAATAACAGGTCAACAGGACAACAAAGTAAATACTGACTAGTGTGAGTCCTCTAGTGAGTTCTCCTGTTCCTACAAACTATACTTTGCTATCTATCATTTTTATAAATGAATCTCTTGACTGGCCATGTAATTCAGTGACAAAAAAAAAACCTTAAAACATGGTGCCCAAGCTTTGGCTCCACCCCGGGAAGATGTGGCCCTCTAGGAAGATAACCGCCTACTCCTATGTGAAACACACATGCATGCCAGGATTGGTTAACGTGCAGCTCCCTTATTCCTGAGGAGGAAGAATCACTCCAAGGCTTGCAGAGTCCTGGGAAGGGTTTCAGAGGGTAACAGGAAACTACAAATGGCTTGAAAATGCAGCACAGAACTGTTCAACCTGCCTCCAGGAGGCCATGAGAGCAGACATCAAGCAGAGGGAGAATTGGTTTATTGGCACAGTCATTCCTTGTTAAATTGACAGGGTGAAGCGGTGACTCTACAACATAAAAGACGTTTTTTTTTGCCAGACTAGCTTCACGGTGGTGTCTGAGGTCAGTAGGTCACCCAGCAAACTAGGACCACTTAGCTTGTTTTAAGCCATACAATTAGGAGAGAATCTGTAAAACCTGTACAGTTCTTCAACTAATCAGATCTGTTCATTTCACATACTCAGTTGAGGTGCACAAAAAAATAAAATTCCTATTGAAAAAGCAACGGCTGAGGACAAGACCAGGGAGGGCTTGCCACATTATCAAGAGTGATGCACGCAGAACTGGCTTTCTCCAGAGAACTGCATTGGGCCATCAATGTCTGCCACAGACCTAGATAGGGACTGGCTTTAAGGTGCAGCTGACAGGTGATGTTTGTCCTCATCATGAAGTTGGTGTTCCATTCTTTCTTGGGTCTATCATGCTCTGGAGATGTTGGGATGGGGGTGGCAGGCAGAGCCACAGCAGCAGCAGCAGGCACTACAAACAGCACTAGTCTAGGGGGAGGCTAGGATGCAGGCTGTGATCACTGCCATGGAATAGACTGGGAGGGAGTCAGGTAAAAAGAGCACTTGGAAGACAGCTCTGATGGCAGGTAGCTCTTGTCCAGTTGCTCAAGCCTTGCTGAAAGCTTCGTGCATCTTAGATGAATTCAAAGACTGTCCTGTTTGCCTCACTCCCAGCCTCGGTAGCTAAATGCAGGGATAAACTCCCTAAGGACTGGCCAACCAGGTCACAGAACATTAGAACCTTCCCCAGTACAGGTCAGTGCGAGGGATTCCAGCTACAATTTCTGATTCAATTCCACAGTGGTCTTCTCCTCTAAGGATTTTAAAGAGGCCTGGGGAGAAAACGAAAAAATAGTAAGGTGCTTTCAAAGTATGCTCTGGGTTTGGTCTAACCCTTGTTTTAGATGGTGCCCCACTCTGTAACTCAAGCTGGCCACAAACTCCATCCTTCAGCCTCAGCATCCTGAGTGCTACAGCTACGGAGGTGTAGGGACTACAGCCACCACGTCCAGCAGCCTTGGGCCTTGACCCTTGTTGCTATACTCGGATTCATCCAGACCTAGGGGTGAGTCATGTGGCCCCCAGTATTATCTGAGACACATCCATGCTGCTGGTGCAATGCAAACTGTATACACAACCACGAGGAGCTCTGAGGCTCAGATGGTTCTAGATCAAAGTATATATTTAGGCAGTCAGGGCCATGCCTCAGGCCACAGCAGAGCAAGGGGCCAAGATGCTCTGGCTCATGGATCCTTATATAGTCTGAGAAAGGGGACTGCTACTCACCATTATCACCCCAGTCAACATTCCAAGAGTTGGCTACCAGCCAGTAGGGGACGCTGTTCTCTACTCCCCAGCCCAGGATGCGGATGGCGTGACCACCCATTATGTCACCAGCCTCATGCTTGTATACTCCTGAGGAAGAAAAAGACAGTTCTGACTGGACACAGGTTACTGCCTGCCCAGAGTCCCCCAAGACAGCTAGCTACTCAGAAGAGCAGGCTGACAGGAACCAACTACTCTCCTACACAGAAAACTCTGGAAGACTGGAGAGGGGCTCAGGATGAGCACTTGTTAGCATGGCAAGGCCATGAAATACCAGGGAATGACACTATTTGAAAAGATTAGAAGGATAAGAGATGTGACCTTGTATGTCAATGGGGGAGGGTGTTGATGTTTCAAAAGCCAGGCCTAGTCTGTCTGTCTGTCTCTCTCTCTCCCTCTGTGTGTGTGTGTGTGTGTGTGTGTGTGTGTGTGTGTGTGTGTGGGGTCTTATTAAATAGCCCTAGCTGGCTTGAAAGTCACTGTGTAGAAAAAGCTAATCTCAAACTCAGATGTCTATCTACCTGCCTCTGCCTTCTGAGTGCTGGAATTTATGGTGTATACCATCATGCCTGGCACCGTAAAAATATTTTTGGAAGCCCAACACACTTAAGTATGCAAATTAAATATTAAAATGGGATCCTACAAAAATATTGTTTGGCTGGCTTTAAAATAAAGGTTCTGATAAACTCTTAAGTTATGAAGCAAACTTAAAGCCCAAGGGCAAATTATCTGTTTTACACCCTGAGATACAATGTCAGGGTTCATATGCCAAGCTTTATAAGGCTTGCAGAGTTTTCAAGCTGCTGCTCTGGGGTCCACTGGAGAGGTAACGGAGAGATGGATGGCTGCCACTGTTGGCTGACAGCAGGTGTCCGGAACTGGCCAGCCAGGCCTTCCACTGAAGGTGAGTCACTTTTCAAACTGAAATGCATCTTTAAGTGGTATGGGTGCAAGTGCTGTGATGGATGTTCTTGGTGGTCAACTTGACTATGTCTGGAATTAATATAAACCCAAATGGCTGGACACTCCTGTGAGAGAGATTTCTTCTAATGTGGATCTCTGAAGTGGGAAGACAGACCTTTTAATTCAGATATTTTCAGGTGGGAAGATCTACCTTTAATCTGGGTCACACCATCTGCTGGCAGCCTATATAAAAGACATGGAAGGAGGAAGCTCTCTTTGCCTGCTTGCTGTCACTATCAAGTCCGTTCCTTCATGCATTAGAGCCTACTTCTTTGGGATTCTGGTGTATACTCCAGCCTTGTGGACTGAACAACTACTGGATTCTTGAACTTTTCATTGATAGGTAGCCATTGTTGGACTTTCTGGACCACAGCCTGTAAGTCATTCTAATAAATCACCTTTAGATGTATGTATGGATGGATATATTCATTCATTCATTCATTCATTCATTCATTCATTCATTCTGTAAGCTCTGTTCCTCTGGAGCAGTATTCTCAACCTTCCTAATGTTTCTATTTCATAACTGTAATGTTGCTACTGTTATAAATCATAATGTAAATATGTGATATGCAGGATGTATTTTCATTGTTATAAATTGACCCAAAGGGGTCATGACCCACAGGTTGAGAGCCACTGTTCTAGAGAACCCCGACTATACAAGATACTATGAGCTGCTACTCATAAGTCACATTTGTGATCCCAGCTATGTGGAAGGCTGAGGTGATCTAGGCCTTTGTAAAGATAAAGAAAGAAGAATGACCACAGTCAAATGTAGATGAGTGAAGGAAGAAGCATCAGCAGAGTATGGGGCTGAGGTGGGTTGGCAGAGATGAAAGGGGACCCCTAGAGAGGCTCTGTGGAGACCATACTCAGAGGGAGCCAGTGACACAGCAGGTGGGAAGCTGTGACCATCTGCTCAGAGGAGAGAGTGGGGACGGAGGTTGAGTCCCAGTGCTCTGCCTTCCTCCCAGTGAGACCTGCTGGCTCATGTGGACAATGGACCCTTCACCTCTGACCTTCCAACCCTGGCTGCCGCTGGAGTTAGGAGGTACCTGATTTGTAAGTCAAGAAGTCTGAAAACACAGTGAAGGCACCCTCCACTGGGCCATTTTTGTAGATTTCCGCCATGATCTCTTTCTCATTGTTAGACACGCTGTAGGAAGTGTACCCTGCAGAGGGAACAAAGCCGAGCAGAGTGAGGTGGTGCCTCCAGCCCCTCTAGCCCTCCAGAAGAGACCAAGGAAGGCTTCCCTAGGTAAGCGAGCAGAACTACAGCCCTAGAAGAAGAGGCCAAGTGGACCCTAAGGTTTAAAACCAGATTCTAACCCCTTGCAAAACAATGGTTTGCCTGGTCCCCTGGAGCTCAAATATGCAGAGGCAGAACAGAGTGTGGAATGTGCATCTCTGCCCAGTGAGATGGGTGTGAATTACTCAGCTTCCCTTCTTCCTGCTGCTCCTGGGGTTTCTCTGTGTAGCCCTGCTGTCCTGGAACTTTCTCTGTAGACCAGACTCTCCTTAGACTCAGAAATCCACCTGCCTCTGCCTCTTGAGTCCTGGGATTAAAAGTGTGAGCCACCACCACCCAGCTCTGGACTCAACACCCAATGGCACTGGCCTCTTTCTCCCTCAGCAAGCCCCAGCTTACCGTAGTGCTTATCTTCTTTGTAGGATGGGGAATAGCCAGCCTCACAGCTCTTGGTACACTTAGGAGTGTCTCCTTCTCCAGTGCACTGGGGCCGGGAGCCATTGACATGGTGCTCACAGGGAGGTATGGTGTATGGTAAGCAGCCTGACAGGTGGAGGGGACAAAATGACATCAGACCGTATCCCCCAATGCAAGGCTCCCCAGGCCAGTCAGAGCTGGGATGCAGCCAGATCATGTCCACATCCGGTGGCTGCTCCTGTATTGAAGGTGGTCTGGCCAACTATCAATCAGCTGACACTCTACTGTTGACCTTCCCTTTACAATAGAAAAGGAAGCCACAAATACTTGCCCATGAAACCCACCTGAGAGACAGGGGTTGCAGGCATACACTCACCTACATGGGAATTGTAGAGTCCACCAGAAACCAGGCCTTTTTTTATCCAGAAGTTCCATGCTCCAGAGGGATAGCCACCGTTACAGCTGGAAAAGAGCTTCTTTCAATGTTGAGCTAGCTCCAGGTGTTCCCATATAGCACTACAGATTCACCACTGGGAATACACCTTCCTCATAAGAACCCTCCCACAGTCCTATAGCCTAATTCATCTTTACTGTCACCCCACCAGGGACCCAACCCAGCTCCATCTCTGTCTACAAGTGTCCTCCAGGCCACAAGGACTCTCTTTTTCATGTCCATATCAAACTGACCTTCAAAACTCCCCTCTATGGAACAGTGGTTCTCAACTGCACAGTATGTTAAAATTTCCTGAGTATAATAGCCCCCTCCCTGATCTGTAGTTTCATTTCTTTCTTTCTCTTTTTATGAGACAGGGTCTCTCAATGTAGTCCTGGCTGTCCTAGCACTTGTTATGTAGACCAGGCTGAAATCCTCCTGCCTCTGTCATCCGAGTGCTGGGACTAAAGGCATGCACCACCATGCCTGGGTTGTTTGATTTCTGAGGTTTTATCTCAGGTCCAAACATGTTAAGGGGAAAATTCCAAAATTAATTCCTCAATTTTAAATTGCACACTGTTCTTAGTAGCATGATAAAAATCTCACACTTCCTGGTCCATTCAGCAGAGAACTGTATACGCTACTATCTCTAGTCAATTGAGAGCCATCTTGGTTATCAAATCCATATAGCTCTGTGCTGTAGAATATTAGTTGAAGATATGTAACATTCGTTTATGCTGTGGAATATTTGTTTAATGATGCAAAGATGTGTTTCATTCCTTTCTGTTGCATTTATGTAACTCTGTGAAGCTGTGTTACTTTGCCTCCCTAAAACATCTGATTGGTCTAATAAAGAGCTGAATAGCAAATAGTTAGGCAGGAGAGAAAGGATAGGTGGGGTTGCCAGGCAGAGAGAATAAATAGGAGGAATGAGAAAAAAGAGAAGGAGAAGAAGACACCAGGGGCCAGCCACCCTGCCACATAGCCAGCCATGGACTAAGAAGGAAAGAGAAGAAAGGTAAAAAGTCCAGAGGCAAAAGGTAGATGGGATAATTCAAGATAGCAAAGCTGACTACAAACAAGCCAAGCTAAGGCCAGGCATTCAAAAGTAAGAATAAGTCGCCGGGCGTTGGTGGCACACGCCTTTAGTCCCAGCACTCGGGAGGC